TGAGGTCACCGCAGTCGCTGCTGCACTCATAGGAGCGACCCCCAAAGTTCCTGTCCTCGTAGAAGGTGATCTGAAATCAGATTGTTGCAACTTTTCATAAACTTGGAAGCAAGAGTTAATCTATGAGAGCAAGCTTCTTTCTGAGCTATACTGTTGAGTTATAGCTTATAAATATTCCCACCTCCCCACATTCTGAAGATTACAGCAGACATAAAGTTGGAGTTCAGGTTGGACAGTTGGCACACAGGCATATTTTGGTCACTTACCCTGCTCATCGTCTCAGTGATGTTTGTCCTCCGTTAGATCTGCTGGACACTCGTTCTCTGGCTGCTTTTATATCTGTCCTGAATCTATGGCCCCATTGTCTAAATCCCTGATCCAGCAACAGGACACAGAAGCCCATTCGTGTTACTGTGCGGGCATTAAATGGCACTGTGCACAGTTACAAAAAGGTACATGCCTGCATTGTATCTTTTGCACAAAAAATCTAGGGAGAATACTGAACAAAGAACTTGACCGAATTTCTGTCAGTATATAGTACGTTACCAGCAACAAACAAAATTGGTGCCTATGCCCGTTTACTAATCTTACTTGCATAATTTGGAAGCATAGGTGCATCAGATTTGGATAATTGTTTTTTCTTAACTTGGAATTCAGTATTTCAATAATTCAGGCTAAGAATCTAATAAAAAGTGATGTCCTGTCATAACCAAGATTGGATTAAGTAAAAACAAATACAACTGCTAATACCATTATAAAGTGGGAAACATATCTAACTCCCCACATAATGTAAAAAGGAAGGTAAAATATAAAGGAAGAATAGGAAGGAATAACATGTATGCAGTTGTATGTATGTGACAGAATAAAACACTTAAAAAACATAAATTATCTGAATTGTAGACATAATTATCAGCATAATTGTTACTTAAAGATATATATACTATGTATTTGATTGCTTATTTGTTTGTTTGTTTGTTTGTTTTCTCTGGCTAATAATAGATGTTCTTGACATGGAGGACAGTGTAGCCAATCAAATATGTTGAAATTGCTTCCAGGGAAGTCAGAACTGGTTATACTGTAGATAACGCAGGAAACCAAACCGCTTACAAAATATGTGCTTCACATTGATACTTATCCAGTGAATGATCAATCAAACCCAAAAAAGCATTTATGAAACATAACATTAGGGATTACCCATGTCCAGTTAATAACAATTTCTGATTTAAGAACCATTCAAAATATTTGAAACTTTTACAGGCCAAACTGGTTCTTAGATACTCAGGCACTTTATGAGCCTGTCAGGGTCAGCCCCTGCTGTGGTCCTTCCGTGTCCCTTCCCTGTTTGACCAGCAGGTGCTGCTGGTCATCCCGTCCTTCATGTTAGTCTTTGTTCTTCCCTGTTACCTGTCTGGTCATGTGGCTCAATGTGTTAAGCATGTGGTTATCTGTGTACCCTTCTGTCTTGAGTACCCTTCTGTCCTGTGTTTGAATCCCACCTCCTGTTTTTGTATTTTGGCTCCCTAGTGTTTCATTTGAGTTGCTTTAGTTCTTGTATCTGATTTTGTAGTTGGTTTTGGTTTTGTTCCTTGTGCCCCTGATTGTCTTTACATGTTTAAATTCCAGTGTTAGTTTCTGTTTCCTTGGTTAGTTTAGTTTCCCTGTTTTCAGTTCCTTTTGTGTTCATTAGTTTCACCTGTGCCCTGTTTCCTTGGTTTTGTTAGCCTCACCTGTCCTGTGTTAGTCTCGTTACCCATTAGTATTTTAGTTCCTGCCTGTGTTCAGTTCCCGAGTGGTTCATTGTCTATATTGTGTTCTGGTGTTGTTGATTTGTCTATGAGTGTGTTATTGATTGTCTTGGTTAGATCTGTGTCCTGTATTTTCCTTCCTGGTTTTAGTTTTGTAATATTTAGTCTTAGTTTATTCCCTTTAGTGTTTGACCCCCCGTGGTCCTTTTGGTTTTGGTGTTTTATAGTGTTTTCTGTTATATTTAATAAACCCTGTTTTGTTTTCCTGGAGCCGCAAGTGGGTCGTCTGCCCTTTTTGTGCACCATGCCTCGTTCCCGTTCCCGAGCCGCCGGCAATCCTGACAGAGCCGATCTACTTTAGGAAAAAAGATTTGGACTGGTGAACAGTACAAGCCCTTTAAGAAACGCGATAACTTAATTTAAAGTGCTGTGGGACATGTATTTCGAAAGCTTATTTTTGTAGGTAAGAATTGATTCATGGGCTTTTTAAAAAGTACATATGCAAGGTTTTGGAATATCTTTGATACAGGTTTAGAATAGGATGATAACCTGCAGCTGATTCCCTGGGTGAAATTAATCAACCAGTGGGGTAATCCACAAAGCAGGATTTCTCAGTGAGCTGAGTTGACTTAAGCTTACAGACATGACTGTCCAACAGGAATGCTCTTTATCTAAGCTCTTATTGGCATTAGACGATTGTGTCATTCTACAAACATCAAATTTGCTTACTTACACAAACCTAGATGGTACAGCCTACTATGGTGTATTTCAACCGGTGTGCCATTAGAACTGGCCAGGTGCGCTATGTATATTATTTATATACACATTAAATAAAATAAGCTTTCGTATTAATAATTAAATAATGAATGGTGGTTTAGATGAAGAAAAAATGTGTCTAATGGTGTGCGCTGGGATAATTAGCTTATTAAAAATCTGGCATGGCAGAAAAATTATACACCTAGGCTATGTTTTTTTAACGAGTAGAAACTCATTAGAACTCTAAAATTGGAATTAAAAAGTATAGCATATTACATGCATAAACCAATAACATAATTGTTTATTGTTATCAAGTGTTGAGCTCTACATTATTCTATGTGCTATATTTTTATACAACTGTCAGTGCAGTAGGTTTGCTCACACCAGCATCACTACAAACACATTAGTAATGCGTTGCACTATGATGTCACTAGGTAATAATTATAGTTTTATTATTATAATTATTATTTATTATTATTATTTTATGGAACTACCATTGTATGTGTGGTTTGTCATTGACCGAAACATTTTTATTCGCCGCATGACTGTATTTGGCATTTGAGTTTGAACTTTATTTATTTATCTCTAAGAATGAAATATGCTATACAATGAGTCAAATTGCTGTCTTGTGGAGGACATAACACTGTGAATAACATCAACAACAAGTTACCATAACAAACTCAGTTCCCTCTGTAACATCCATGACATAGAAATTACACAAAACTGCAAAATCATGTTGTATCTTTAATGAGTTTTGTTTAACTATATCACTGTCAATAAGTCATTACTTGTTTTAATAACGGGAATCCATGATTTGCCTCCATGATTTCTCGAACCTTATGCCACTGAAGCTCTTGTACTCCCCAGGCCAGAAGTACCTCATCCTGCCCCTGTAGTGGGGCTGCTCATACATGAGCCAGTGGCCGTCCATCACGTGGCAGGACATGCAGTTGGACCAACGGTAACGATCCATCCATCATCTTCATCATCTGACCGCCAAAGTTCTCCCTCTCGTAGATCCTCATCCTGTACGATCCTCTGTATTGTTTGAAAAACATAGAAACAGAATTCAGTTCACTGCAAATTGTGAGAGCAATATAATGATAAACTTATTCAGAATATGAGTTAATTTTTAAAAAGTTCTACAGGTAGAACTTTAACAGTAACACTGTTAAAGAGTTTACCATGGGGATCATGCGGCAGGATCTGAACCAGTCACTCATGCCCATGCTCATGCAGTCGGGATACTCGCCCCTCTTCACAAAGTACTGGTTCCCCATGTAGTTTGGGCGGTCATAGAGCATGAAGCAGCCGCTATGCACTCTGCAGGAGTAACAGTGGCTCAAGTAGGAACTGAGGTCACTGCAGTCGCTGCTGCAGTCATAGGAGCGACCCCCAAAGTTCCTGTCCTCGTAGAAGGTGATCTGAAATCAAATGATTACATATTTAATGTCAATCATTTCGGAAAAGAAAATAGGTAGCTTTTAAGTATAAAAAGTATTTTCTAAAGTTCCTGCTGGACAGAACCTTATTCACTGGTTAAAGTGGAAATGAGCACCTTCAGAATATGAGAGGTACTCTGAAGAGAAAATGAATGAGGTGCCAGTTCTGCTTCTACTGTAGCACTGACCCTATTCAGCTCATTGGTGATTTCAAGACTGTGAAAGCTGATGATTATCACTAATACACCTGCATAGTTCAGCCTGCACACATTTTGGCTACATACCCTGCCCATGAGTATGATGATCATTTCCAGCTGTCCTCAGATCTCGGAAGTCAGGTCTCTGGCTGCTTGTATATCTGTCCAGAATCTGTTGCCCTTTTGTCTAAAACCCTGACCAGCATCATTACAGAGAAGCCCTTTCCTATTTCCAGTATGGACAGTAATGTTTATCTGACTTGGCATGCATTTACAGTCTGTAAGCTTTTTCTCTTTCACTCTTACATGCATGTCTTACATGTCCTGGGTATGATGTTAAACTGCATCCGGCCCTGCAAGCGGTCAATTTTTTGGGAGTTGGTGGCACGATTGGCATTCCAGCCACCATAAATTAACTCACAACTGCTCGATACAAGCAAGCACGGTACTCTTCTGCTCTCCGCGGGAGTAGCTCTGCTGCAGCCACCCGCAGGAAGGCTGCACACATCATGAAGGTAATGGGGGAAAGCCTTTAGGAGCTCCATCGCCAGATGAGTCTAAACCACCGGAGAGCTAATAGGGTCAGGCCTGCTGGGGATCGGGGCTGGTGTGGTGGTAAGGCATCACCTGCTGCATGGCGGCACTTGGGTCCCAGTTTCAGGCGACCCATCTGGGTTGCCACTTGGATTGTCTTGTCTCTCCGGTAAGATGACCAGTTTCCTCATTTTCCTTCATTAACTCCACGTTTCGGTGGCAGCACTCTCTGAGGTATGCAGACCGGGCAGTGGTCAGATCTCTGTTGGTGGGTATACCTACTTTTGGTCTGGTCAGTCTGATGGGTGCCACACTCAGAGAGTAGCTGTTGCTGTAGCGGATCAGCTCCTTCTGATGGTGTCTGATGTCACTCCTTTCAATGAGCATAGACTCAGACTAAGGCACTCCTTGGGTGTCTTGTCTGTTGTCTCAGTGTATGCTCCAACTGCGGTGAGTGATGTCTCATTTAGAGAGACATTTTACTCGCAACTCAGTGGTTGAAGGGTGCCCATGAGGTGACACTCCTCTGGTCATGGGTGACTTCAATGTGACCACTGGCACTGACAGTGCTGGCTATGAGGATTGTGTCAGTCCCCATGGGTCAGGAGACCATGGTGAAAGCGGCTCCATATTCCTTGACTTTGCGAAAGTTCTGGGGTCGCGGGTCACTGGATCCTGGTTCCAATGCCCTGAGCCGTATCGTTGGACTTTGGAGTTTGCACACAAATTGTGTGAAGAACTTGCAGACTTGGGTGTGACTGCTGGCTCTAATGTGATGTGGGAGACCTTATCCATTGTAAGACCCTGAACCTTGCCGAGGGTTGTGTTGGTGTTACCAGTGTTTCCAGAAGGAGGTGTTTCATCTCGCAAGGCACCCTGGATATTATCGAGAGGAGTCGCAGCGCACGGCTTGGTGGCAGCTCCAGTCTGTACTGGGAACTGAGGAGGATGGCTGTGACGGCTCTGAGGGCAGATAAGGAGGCGTTTGTCAGATGAATCTGTGAGCAGGTGACACACCATCTGTGGTCAAGTGACCCATGTCCTGCTTACAGAGGAATCGAAGCATTACGCACATCTGAATCTGTTCCTCGGAGACTTGCAGTCAAGTTGAGTGATGGAATGGTCCTTATGAATGACAGGTAATTTGACTTTGTGTCAAATGAGTGGTTGCTAGAGGAGTCCCAAATGAAACACATTACCTGCATTGTGAGGGAGCATCAGTTATGGCACTACGGCCATGTGGCGCGTTTCCCTGAGGGTGATCCGGCTCGCAGGATCCTCATTGCTGAGGACCCAAGTGGTTGGACCAGGCCAAGGAGACGCCCACGTAACACCTGGCTGTGGCAGATGGATGGTCATTTCCAGAGGGTGGGACTGGACCATGTATCTGCCAGGGGGGGTCGCCGGCCAGGATGTTGAGGAGCTTCGCTGTGTGGTTGGCGCGGCAACGCGCTGCATCAGCACATGCTCCCCCACCTCACCTCACCTGACTCTTACATAAGCGTAATGCCTAATATTCTAAAAGCTTATTTTGGCTATTTTCTGCAGTGTACTTTGTTACAATAATAATACCAAGATTTAATTATCTAGATATTTGTCAGAGGTGAAATCATGCATGGAAACTTGTGTTTCAGATATTGAAAAATATGTATTTTGTATCCTGGCAAGAAGCACAAGATATCATTCATTATATACAGTATATGTGATGCACAAGGCCTATGAAAAGTGTGCAGTTCACTACAGCCTGAATCTCACCTTAAGCTTCATCATACTGCAGTATCTTCCAGAAGGTCTATCTAGGGCAGTTTCATGGCTTTCTTGGAAATTTTGTGTATGAATAAAGTTGGTCTTAGAAGCAGCATTCATTTTGCAACCCTCACTCAGAAGCCAGTTTTGTGTAGTGCAAAACCTTCCCTATCAATTGGTAATCTCTGGCTGGTGGTGCCCATTTTAGATAATATCCTTGTTGCTGACCACACGATTAACAAAATATTATACCAACTGGATTTCTTACCTGGTTGCTAACTTTAATAGGATAGCCTTTTTGATATTGTATGTATGTTCTCACCTGCTTCTCCAATTTTGGATGCATCTGTTCTTGCATCTTAAGTTAATCCAGTGCAGAAGAATGACATAAATAAACCGATACTGTAAACAATGTTCTCAGGTAAAATCTCAGACAGAGCTGGACTCACACTTGCATTTGGAGATCATGTAGTGCTTGTGACCATATATGGGCATCTCATTGACACACCATCCTGACTCTGTTAGCCTCCTGAAAGTTTTTTGCCTGTATGTGCGTCAGTGATCCATTGAAATGGATGTTCCAGCATCTTCTTGGAAATTTCAAGATCTGCTAGTGTATCTGAAAATAGCAGTGCACAGTAATAGCACGGTAAAGATCTTATTCCACTGAGTACATACACCACGCAATTGACCTTGAAAGCTTGATCTTTTTTATTGGACATATTTATATTCTAAATGCTATGCAATGGGGTATATTTAACAGGCAGCACTGTGAATCCTGCATGTTCTTTCCATTTTCTTAGGATGTTCTCCTTTCCTCTCATGATCCAAAGACATGCAGGCTAACTGATATCATAGTGTATGATTGTCTGTCTGTGCCTTGTGATGGATTCGCATCCCATCCATGGTGTTTCCCTGTATGCTGATGCACTCACATCCTATCCATGGTGTTCCTCTGTCTGCCGATGTACTCACATGCCATACACAGTGCTCCCTGCCTTCTGGCTGCCTGGCGATTGGAGGGAG